TTTAATCAGTAAATACTCAAATGTTTCTTATATTTAACCAAGATTAATATATTATTATTGTGGTGTGTATATCGTTTTTTCTTCCATGAAGTACCTGAAGTTTACCGTTCATTTTATATATATTTTTTAAATGTGTAGTTGGACATAGTGTTGTTTACCTCTAATAACTTTTTTAAATAATGTGACATTGCATGTTAAGGTCTCTACGAAATAAAGAATACAAATACACTAAACAGTCTATACTATTATTTTATTAGAGGTAAATATTATAATGTTATAATAATTAAATTAAGAAAAGTTAAATAAACTAAAATTATAGACGACAAATTTCAAATTTGTTAAAGAGGCTCCATATCATCTGCATCTTCTTGTGGGTAATCGTTTGTGGCTACATCGCTATGTGTTAAATTTTGATAAAGTGCATGACAAACTGACGGAAAAAGGCAGTAAGGTAATAAAGTCAATAAACGTTTGTTTTCTGATTGGTAATGGGTTTACTGAGACTTGATTTAATTGAGCTGGAAACGCTACTTACTGTCTTCGATACCTCATGAAGTCCACTTCATACATATTTTGATTATTGAAATCGGTCTTATAAAAGAGCTTCCCAATGTGTTCTTGTTGGACTTGTAGGAGTCAACACATGTTGACAGTAGAACAGGATCTTCATTAAAATTCTTTTTTCTACTTACAAAAGGATGATTAAGTGACAATTTCTTGTCGAACAGCGTTTTGAAGTTTTTAAAATCTGCAAGTTCCATATTGTGCACTGTGTATTTACCTGATGTTTGCCTAACTAGCTGTTGCCAGTTCCATGGTGTTAAAATGACCAAATTGGAGAGTTTCTTTTTGTTTCTCTCGATTAAAGCATAAATACTGTCTGCTTCCATATGTGTGTGCCTTTTCAGTAAAAAGTTTTGAGTGATCGTCTTTATTTGAAGGTATGTACGCAGTATCCAAAAATAGCACATTATAATACTTATATTTGTATTTTGTCCATAGCAGTTATCGGTCCAAAGAGTGATGTCCTTTACTTGACTACCTGGAATTGTATTGTCAGTCTATTTTAAAATTCACGAGGCAATTTCATTTGCACCTCGGAACCCCTATCGATTCGTCCCACATCATACATTGTACAGAAGAAAAAAAGCTTCTACAAAAGCTTCCTTTTGTAGAAACTAATACAATTGTTTGTTAGTGGTGAAAGCAAACATTTTTACAAATCACCAGATAGTACTTTGTGTTTTGGTGACTCTTTAGCCATTAAAAAGTCCAATTGTTGTAAGTTATATCGACTTTTAAATTCAATTAGGTGAGTATCATGATTAGCCTGTACACTGGTTAGTTCATCTGCAGTAAGATTATTTTTCAATTGAGCTGTGAATGTACTGCATGTATCGCAAGTGTCTATTTCGGGATTCCAAGTTTTCAAACGAAAACTTGGAAATCTTTATTAAAAATATCTGCGTCGAATTACTTTTTTACTCTGAGATTTGGATCTACATGTCTTTCATTGCCTTCATCAAAGTACAGTTGATACAACTTTTCTATCGTAAGTTATGTGCCAAGATAATCTCTCTTACTCCTTTCTCTGGAATAATGAATCACGCACTTTGGGAATGATTTAATACGTTGATGTATACTATTTATGGTCTCGGTAGGAGTTTTATTGATTAGCGTGTGTCTACCTCTTTGATCAGCTTTTATTGATCCTCCCGGCTCAATTTTTTTCAACATATTTACTACTACTAAATTAGATATACAAAGTGTGTTTGAAAAAATAACCTTGCACACCCTCAATCGCTGATCGTTCACTGTAAAATGGTAGTGTAGTGTATTATTTTTAGATTTGGTAGAATTTAGGTTTTTTTTTGTTAATTGGAGAGTAGGTTGGATGTGGACACATGAGAAGATAAATTGCTTTTTAACATCTGAAACGTTTGTCTCAGTCCAGTATGAGTTGTTTTTTTTTTCGTATTCTGGCAATCTTTTAGACCATTTCATGCGACACATGCAAGGAAGCTTTAAAATTTTTACAGGCATGTTTTTGCCTTTTTTAACTGAGATACTCTTTCCCGCCAGCTATTTTTGATTTGCGAACATTACAGACCCAATTTTGTTAATTTACTACACGTTTTTTGCCTTTTTGTTTGCACTTAGTTACATTTTGTACCTTTCTTTTAACACGTTATTTTCTTCTAAAATAACTTCATTATGTTCGTTGGAATTGCCTGCATTACTGCTTAGGAATAAATCGTCCCTAAGAAGATTTTTTGTTATTGCCACACTAGTCGTAGGAGTAATAATAGCTCTCTCTTTTACCTTTGTTTTTGCTGGTTTACTTATACGTCTCATATTATTGTCGTCTTTTTCTGAGCTTAGAGGCTCGTAGAGTATATCAATATCCGCATTATCATCTCCACACAAATTATCATCTTCGTCCACTTCCTTACCATTACCTTGGAAGTTACTGTAGTGACCAGGTGGTTCTAAAAAAATCCAGCCTTGTAATAATAATTGTAGACTAATTTTATAGGCCTATAATTGGCCAACACAAAAATAATCCTTATAACCAAAGACCGGAATTTATTGAGCAATTTCCGTTACTTCCATCAAAAAAATATAGATCTGGCAACATCTGTTTACCCTAATCTGTTGGTATCAACAACAACAATAATTTTTGGGGTACCGGTTACGCCTAACAGTAAATAAATTTTACCCAATCTCTTATAGTATTTTGTTTATACGAGTATATATTGATAATTACTTGGTAAATTCCTGTCTATGCCTAAAACACAATAACATAAATGGCAATGCATGTTACATAAATAACTGACAACAATCATACCATATTATGGTCATTTAAAAAAACAGATGAAATTCTTTACTAGTAACAAGAACATACTAACTGATATATACTTCTATTTAAACGGTAGATAGAAAAAATGTATATACAGTTTGAAATTCTGAGCCCTATACAAAATAATATATCGTTACCCAAGTTCAAAACGGAAACAACTTAAAATAACTACTTTTGAGAAAATGGCTAATAATTAAAATCGCACACATACAACCACGTTTTATTGAGATAAACAAAACAATTATTTAATGACCAGTATTTTTTGTAAGTCTAATGTAGTTTTAGTAGACGATTACAGTATAAGTGTGTTTTTTATTTCCAACATAATTAAAATTAAATATTAGTTATGTTTCACTTTCTTCACACTCGTCACAATCACTATCATTATTTGCTGTGTTTTTTTTTGTGTTTTTTTTTTGTTTTTTCCTGCTCCAACAAATTTCTGTAGAAATTCCAGTGTACCTTAGAAATAGCTTAGAGCTCACAAAGTTCTAGTAATCCTTTCTTAAGGTTAGATGGAATAAGAATAGTTCCGGGATAAAGTTGAGATAAACTAGGTACTGATTTATTTCTTGGAGACTTAAATTTTATATTAATTGATTTGTATTCAGCATCAGAATAAGATGTCTTGTAAAAAAGAATATAAGGATTATTTTTTTTTGACCATAACAATTTTAATGTCAGTCCACAGAACTTTTTCGGGTTGTTCGTTTATATTATAATTGTTTCCCAAAGAGGAAGTCAGTTTTTTTAGGTCCAGAAATTCCTCAGTCGTCATGTTTTTAATTTTATAAGGATGGCCGGTCTTTTTGGCTAATTCTATTATAGTACTTCATTGAGCAGGCACATAAATCGGGCTGGCCTTAAGCTTTCTTTTTTCTCCCTTTCTATTAAGGAATGCATATTGTCGTCTTCGTTTTGGGTATGTCCAGCTATTAAAAATTTGTGTGTAAAGAATTCGATTTTTTTCATAGACTGCACACAGTACATGTACATTACAATAATAAATTTATTTTTATTTTGCCCACTGCAATTGTCACTGTAAAAAGTAATATCTTTTACCTGGTTCTCATTTTGCTCTTTTAGAAAATAATATACACAACTTCCTATTTCATTTGCACCTCGTTGAGCAATGCTCTGGTTCCAAAAATAGCAGAAACCCTTTTTTGTCCAATGTCATACACGGTGAGGTTATAACACGATAAACGACTTTTATAAAAAAAATATGAAACCTCTCCACAAGGTACACTTAATACAGACTGTAAGTCATAAACTGCAACTATTTAATCAGTCGAGGAAAACAGCTTTTGACACATCTTCAGCTTTTTCTTTTCTACTTGCCTCTTTTTCTAATTGATGATTTTCGTAGTTCATTTTTAAATTTTCTTTCTATTCTCCCGTAGCGGTATTAAAGCTATGACATAGGCACATTGGTCCTTTTTTGGTTGAAAAAAACTTATATTGAATTCTGTAGAAAAAATTGTAGAGTACATGTTATACTTTCCATAAAGTTTTTGTAGTATTTTACATTGTTCTTTATATAATCTGTACATAGTGGGCAGGTTAAGACTTCCATCGATATATTTTTTGGCAGTTCTTGAACGACAGAAATGTGATTCTATTAAGGGAAATAAGTTTATGTGTTCACGTATGTCGACTTTTATCTGTGAATTAATAGCCCTTCCCATGTGTCCATGTTTGCAACGTTTATCCTTTTCCAGAAATCCATCCTGAGATTTTTGTTTTGTAATGGTAAAAATCATTTTTACCGTTACTAATAAACTAACGTTTAGTGTACCCATAAAAAATGTCTTACAAACTACGATTTTATTTCCATAGATAGAAAATTTATAAACGAAATTGTATGACCTTTTTCGTTCAGGCAGCTTTTTTTTGGTATTTTGTTTTTAACTCAGACATGTGCCTTAAAATAAATTCTCTTTGGTCATTAATATTGCCCATTTTCCAAAAACTTTTATTTTTTCTTGACGTATTTCGTTATTAATTTTTTCACTGCATTTGAATCTGCATTTGGGCCCACAAGCTGATTGAACACTTCTTGCTACAATTATTTTATCTTTTTATGTTGTGCTAGGTAACTTTTTCCTAGATTTCTTTTTTTCTTTAACGCATTCTTCACCCAATTTTCTGGATTTCTAGATCTTTTTTTGTGAGAATTTTCTCACTCAGTTCAGTTTCCTCAACCATTTCAGCAACTTTTTCATGATAGTTCTCAGCTTCATTGTCACTAAAAATGTTATTTGCTATATAAGTGTCGGGTACAATATAATCTTTATCTTTGCTATCATCACCAACACTAGAATTTATTTCCTCGTCGCCATTTTCTCTCTAAAATCATAATAAAAAAGTTAAATTATACTAAAATATTCAATTATTTTTTTTTGCTTACCGGGTAGAAAGTTGATAAGTTTAAATAGGTTTTCGCTTGGCTTTTGTCAGCAGAGTCTTCATTAACATTATCTTTAAAAATTGCAGCTGGTTCCTGAGTGTTTATCAACAAACCAAGCGAATTTTCATTACTATTTAATTCCACAGTAACACTACCATTTATCTCTTCAATAATATTGCAATTTTGTACCTAAAACAAGTTAATATAATAATGAATATGTTTTTAACGCTTTTTAAGACAAGTTCCCTACTTGAAAAAATTTCTGAAAAAAATTTCTCTCGATGGAAATTCAGGTATTGCAAGGAGAACGGATGGATAGCCACTGCTGTTATTACTTTGGTCATTATATCCAACATTACCATCAATGTTAATTTCTACTACTATATTATCCGTATTAAGGTTTTTAGTAGTAGCCTAAAACAATTTGAAAAACTTTTTATGTACAGTTGCGGTCACGGAATAGTTTACACCTTACTTTTTATATTGTAATACTGTAAAATTGCAGTGTCGTACGGATTTGATAAATGTCAAAGTCAAAAAATATCAAAACGTCAATGCTTTCGCGAGTGTTCAACAATAAAATAAAAGTAGGTATATTAAACTCTTCCAAAATGGTTAGAATACATTTGAATTATGCGCAAAAAGCAAGAGCAATTGCCAAACTCGAAGAAGGTTGGTCACTAAGGCAAGTTGCTGCTGATTTGAACGTGAGTCATATGTGCATATGGAAGATTAAACAAAGATGGGATAATTTTTACTCTATAGCACGGTTGGGCGGTTCAGGAGGGCAGAAGATTTCCACAGATCAACAGGATGAGATGTTAGTAAATTATTTGAGAGAATCTCCTTTTGCCACAGCTCAAAAGGCAAGAGAAGAGGCAGCGTTTCCAGGCAGTATTCGCACTGCACGTCGAAGAATTAAAGCAAGTGGACTGCTAAATTGTGTAGCTGCACGGAAACCTTCTTTGACTGAGGATCACAAGAGGAGACGAGTTGAATTTTGTAATGAATTTATAAACCGCGATGAGAATTTTTGGTCTAGGGTTGTATTTTCCGATGAAAAAGTATTTCAGTCGTATAATAATGGTCGAATAAGAGTTTATAGGCCGAGAAATCATAGGTATGATGAACAGTATACGCATCATTTAAGAAATAGTGGAGGATTCTCTGTCAACGTATGGGGATGGATAAGTGCCGAAGGCCCGGGCGTTTGTTATCATGTAGAGGAGAAGTTAACAGGATTATATTACAAACATATTATTGAGCACACAATGTTGCCATCGGTGATCCAGAGATTCCCCAACAACGACTTTATCTTCCAACATGACAATTGCCCGGTGCATACGAGTAGAATTGTTCGAGAATGGCTAGAAGAAACTGATGTTAATGTTCTTCCGTGGCCTTCCCGTAGTGCAGACTTTAACCCCGTCGAAAATGTGTGGGCAGAGTTAACAAAGAAACTAAATGAAAGAAACCTTAGACCACGGAATAGAATTGAATTATGGGAAGCAATTGAGCAGGCATGGGAAGAGCTTGTTAACTATAACATGAGGGGATTGGTGCTATCTATGAACAGAAGACTGCAAAATTATATTGACAAGAATGGGGCTTCCACCAAATATTAATTATTATTTATCATTGTTTATCGTTATTTAATATAAAATAGATTTAAAATCAAATGCATATTAAAAAAAAAGACTTCTTTATTTTCGTTATTAAGATCATAATCCATTTTAATCAAAAAACTGTTTTCTATATTTTTCATTTTGTAAAATATTTTGATATTTTAATTTTAATCTACCTATTCTAGCTAGTACACCACTGGCAACGTCACTTTGACGTAAAAGGTGCGTTTAAACGAAGTAAAAATTAAAAAAATGGGCTCCTAGATACGTGAACGTAAACTATTCCGTGACCGCAACTGTACGTATTATCAAAACAGAATGCTACTAGTTTACTACAGCTAACCGGCTTACCTCTTTTTGAAAAGTTATTTCATCCACTATTTGGTTTAATGGTTCATTTTCATCACTACTATTTAATTCACCAACTGCCAATAATGCCATTCTTATACCTCTACTTATAGGCAACATTGTAATACTTGTAAAACTTACGAAAATATACAAAATAACGGCACTAATATTGTTCTAAATAATTAAAAACATAAAGGTTAACAATTACTTTCAAACTGACATAACCTAAAAGAAACGTGACAAAGGCTGGTTCAAAACTGAAACAATTTAACTTATTTCATAACTGATGTCAGACAGCGAGTGACATTCAGTTCAAAACGGAAACAACTACGTTATTTCTGTTTTGAACCGACATTGTTAAAAAAGATTTTAGATCAAAAAGGAAATGGACACTTTTTAAGGAATGCATATGAATGTATGATTTATTTCTCTTTTGAAATAGGTAGATTATCATCCTCACATAAATTTTACGGAAATAACTCATTTCAACAAAATTTTGAGTTGTTTCTGTTTTGAACTGGGGTAGCGATATATACAACACTAAATATTTGAGATTAGAAAAATACAAAATCATTGTTAAAAAACAATAGCTTACCTGTAAGTGTTGTTTTATTTGGAATATTATATGACAGTATTTGTAATATTATTTTTCCACGAGAGTTCTGATCCATTTTGCAATTATTAAACAACGAACTTATTGTACAACTTTTATCAACCTAACATAATTGCGATCTAAATAAAAAGGTTTCAATGATTTTAGTTCATGACAATTACAAGGGTACATAACACTATGTCCGGATGGTAAATGACAATGCACACATTTACTAGAGGTAAACAACACCAAGTCCACATGGTGTTGTTTACCTCTGACTGGAAGTGGACTTGGTGTCTATTAAAAAGTCGGTAACTTGCCGTAAAATTGTCTCTGAACATAGTATGGTTTACCTATGTGTAGAGCCAGAAAAGGTATATTCAAAAGTGCAATAATCTAAATTTCGATAAAAATGGACATAGTGTCCTTTACCTCCGAGGTAAGCAACTATTTCCTGCTTTTTAATGTATCTTTCTGATTTTTGAACCGATTTTCTTAGGCCTTTTTAAAATATCTGCTCTACTTAATGGACATAAAAGAATTTTTCTTAAAAACTAGTGATTTTACCTGTTACAACTTTACTTAATTTTTTTTCCTTTCTCCTATTTAAGGCTAGGACGACAGCAGCAAAATAATAAACTTCTTTCATGAAAGGGCCGGTCTTTTCACTTCCAGATAAATATTGTCCTAAATGACAAATAGTTATATTCCTCAAACAAAAATCCAGATTACACTGCAAACAAAGATCTCAAGAGAAAGACGACTAATGTCAACTCAGAAATACTCCGTAACATAGAATCCTTTGAAATAAAACAAGCTATTGCACAAACAATAAATAAATAAATAAATTAAAAAATAAAAATCAATAAGGCTTTGGGCCCAGATGAAATACTTGTAGAAATGTTGAAGGGGGGAAGTAAAATTATTCTCGAAGAATTAAAAATTTTTTCAACGAATGTCTTCATCAGAAGCGAAGTCTCTGATGTTTTGAATAAAAGTTTGACAATACTTCTCTCCAAAAACGGAGGAGACAGGGGAGATCTGAAGAATAATATGTCAATGTCCCAGCTGTCCCAAATGTACAAACTGTTTATGAGAGTAATATCTTACCTAACAGGTTAACGTCGAAGCTCGATAGCTATCAACCGGTAGAGCAGACAGGATTCCGAATGTGTTACAGTGCAGCGGATCATCTTCTTACTGTCAGAACGCTAATAGAAAATGTAAATAAATATCATGTAAGCTATTTACACTTGGACTGGATGACGTGTTCAAAGACATTAACTGGGTATATGAGATTTCGAAATAAATTTTATATTTATCTTACAGATAAGTAACAGCAACATAATTTAACATGAAAAGACGCATACATTTTATTTTATAAATAAATTTTTATCCTTTAGATAACTATTTGTCTTCTTCTTCTTCTTCAGCCTTAAGTAATCCAACTTTGGACATAGGTCTCCTCCAAATCAATCCAGTGTTTTCTATTTTATGCCACTTGCTTCCAGTTGTATCCTACGATCTTCTTAATTTCATCAGCCCATCCTTATTTGTGCTCTTTCTCTGCTTCTCTTTCCTTACCATGGTTTCCATTGTTGTATTGTATGGTTCCATCTTTTAGCCTTTAGTTGGGCATTGTGTCCTGCGAAGCTCCATTTTAATTTGGCAGCATGTTCTCCTGCATATTTTACTTTGGTTTTACTTCTAATCCATTTGTTTGTTTTTTTTTTTGTCTATAAGTCACACTCCGAGCATTAATCTTTCCATCGCTCTTTGTGCTTTTACTATTTTATCCATATTAGACTTGGTGAGTGTCCACGTCTGTGAACCATACGTAAGTATAGAGAGGTTCTCTTTTAAGTGCCGTCTCCCAATTGGAGGTTGGATATCATCATGACTATCTTTACTTTATCTACTGCTGCTTCAAAGAGTTTTTATAAAACTACATTTAAACCAGTCCTTAAATTCTTCAACCATGACACTCTCCTTCTTCCTATACTACGTCTCTTATCTTTCCCTGTATTATCAGCCTTAGCAGATCATATTGCTGTCCCCTCATTACGTGTCCCAGTTATTGTAATTTTCTTATTTTTATTGTGTTTATTATTTCGCATTCTTTGCCCATTTTTCGCAATACTTCCATGTTAGTTTTCTTCTGTGTCCATGCTATTCTAAGCATCCTCCTGTAACACTACATTTCAAAGAACTGTAACTTATTTATGTGTTCTTGCTTCAATGTCCAGCTTTCAAGTCCATATTGCACTATCGAGAACACATAACATCTCAGTGCTCTTATCCTAGCTCTTATTTCGGTTGTTTGATCATTATTGTCTGAAATCCAGGTTCCTAAGTATTTGTATTTATCAACCCTTTATATCGGTACATTTCCCAAATGTATGTTTGTTGGTATATTTGTTTTCTTTGTTATTATCATGTATTTGGTCTTTTTTGTATTTATTTTTAGTCCATATTTTTCACAGGAACTGTTCGTTTTGTTTAGCAGTAATTGGAGTTGTTCAGCAGAGCTTGCCATAATCACAGTGTCATCTGCATATCTTATGTTGTTAATAGATCTTCCGTTAATTATTACTCCTTACTTTGAGATAGTAATGCTTCTTCAA